TTAGAGTATTTATTAGAATGTGTCGAACTCTGCCGATAATTTTAATAATATTATAAATTTTCTTTTTAGTTTGTGCTTGAACCACGCAGAAGTTCTTGGCTGGAAATAATTAATGTGGGAAATATAGATACTAGAAGGAAACATATCTTTGTTTGTTAACTTTATTTTGAAGATTAATGTTTTAACCGAACAATAAATTAATAGTAAATCTACGTGATGGGGCCCTATCGCTACAAGCTCTATTGGTAAATCATAATGTAAACGATTCATTATGTGTTTTGTTATATTAGTTTTGGAAGCATTTTTTGAAGAGGTGCAAACTTAACATTTTATTTAACATTTATATTAAGTTCATAACTAACCGGGTTCTTGTACCTATATGTTTCTGTTTTCCTCCGCTATCTATCACTATCATTGTAATGTACAAACATTTTCGTTCAGAGCTTAGTACAGTACCTATAGAATCTATAGAAAAATCTATGTTCAATTGGATCAAGTAAGTTAAATTATACTATTTATGTTGCAGCCTCTAGCCAGATATGTGCATGAAAATGAACTTGGAACCAGTTCTGGAGTCTTCTCGAAAGATGGTTTTGCAGATTACATTACAGGGAAACACTACGAAAAATACGAAGATATTGTATATTATAAATCTTGATTTTATGAATACTTTGATACAGTTTTATTTTTCAACCCTCAAAAATTACTTAACCTTAAGTATATAAATATTGACCAGTTGATGGAAAATCCTTTTCATGAATTTCGATACATAAGTATCGTGAAAGTTATGATGTGAATGTATAGGCACGATCGACTGGAGTGACAGTGCACGCAGCAACTACTAAATATATTTCGCTAATATGTTGGTAATGTTTAGCAGCTACATAAAAATTAAATCCAGATGAATCATAAAATAATGATATTTTATTGATAAGTCAATTAAAACCAATTCTAAAATATCGATATTTCTACAGTTTTAAAAGTTACATCCCTAGTTCTATCCGCCATTACGGGTGACCAAGTGAAGTTTATGTAGGCACGATTTTTTCCTAGTTGTTTCTTATCCATACTCTTATCATATCAGTGGTTCAAAGTCAATCAAGCGTAAGATTGGGATACTTTGGGGGCCTGGATGAAAGGGAAGTGACGTCGTCAAAATAAAAGAACACATAATAATAAAAAGCATTTATTTGGCTCGTCGACTTTAGTTTTTCATAGAAGCAGCAGTTTCTTTACATGTATTATTTTATTTTGAAATAAGTGGTGGCAGCTGCACTAGACTTATAATATGTACTCATTACTGTTCTGGAGCCAGCCGAGAGCCTGCACTGTGTGATATCTGAGGTGGCAACTGCCATACTACGGCCAGTGCCGTGATATGCAATTAAGTCAAATTTAATTTGTTACCAATTTTATGGTCTATAAAAGTACTTAAAGATGGTCTCATAGTAATTTGTTTCCGCATCGATTACCGTCCACTTACAAAGTCAGCCTACAGTGAGCCTGCCGGCGTACAGTCTCGTTTGTAATCATCTTCGCGGATAATTGTACTAATTGCTTTTAATTCTCCGTTATAATTACTCCATAACATCTTGATTAAAAGAGAAAGTTATAATTAAAAGCACAAACATCGGAAAATCGAATGTTAGACCTATTCGTGTGATTTGGGTTTAGGTGTGTACAGACGTTAATCTTATATAAAAAATATGAATAATACTTTAAAAACCTGAATTTAATTACAAGTGCTGTAACTCTCATTGACATATTGACATGTGCGTGAAATCAAAATTAATAAATGGTTAGTTTGTTAGTAATTAGGAATCCTAATCGTTATTTATTTTTTGCTACAATGGAGTGCTTGTAAACATAGTCGCGCGAGACTCTACTGCAGCAGTTAGTGAGCATTAGTTACCGTGTGTGTACAGCGCACGCACGCATGCCAGTACGTAATACAAATACGAAATAAAATGTGCTAAACAAAATGATGTTCAACAAAGTGTGTTGTGTGCTATTCTTCGTAATATTGGCTGAAGGCGGCAAAAGCATTTCGCGCCAAAATGTAGCAAGGAAAGAAAATAGAGCTGGGAAACGTCCCGATAAAATCGAAGTGTTTGACAACTTGTTTAATGTGTACGACCCAACGTTTTTGGCAGTTGTTTGGCCCAAAATTACGAATGGAATGCACATCTTAATTGACCCCAACTGCTGGGAAGAGCTCGGATATTTCTTCAAAGACTTGACGGAAGGCAAAGCATGGGCATACAACGGTAAGTCGAACTAATTAACGGCGCAATCATTGAGATAATGGAAACGGTGAGTACGGTAATCTAGTAATTATATGTTATGGAAAAATCTTCTCTACCTACTTTTTAATAATGTTGTATTATGGTTAATTGTAGCGAATAGCATTAGATTAGCAGATATTTATCTCACGCTTGTTGAAGATTATAAGTACGTAACTAACAAATTTTAAGTACCCACCGAAATAGTTAAGACAGGCCTTAGACTTGTTTGTTATGACCTAAACACTCACATAATTATATCCTGTAGGCGTTGGTGAGTGTTCATTGATGATTATTAAATCATCATCATTATTTGCCAGTATATTTCCTCTACTGCATAACAAAATTCTCTCTACTCGGCCAGTTTTAGCCCGCGCTTATCGGAGGACTTTTTTTAAGGTGGGAAAATCATCGAATGACTTCTCCTCTCTTTCTCCTCTTAAGGAGGGTCAGACTCTTGCACTTCGAGCCGGAGCCCCGGCAACCCTTTAAGTCCTCGGCGGCTCTGTATGCCATTAGCCCTATTGGGCCCCATCCGTGGTGGTCTGATGGCTCTTTGAAGCGCGCGCGGAACACGACGCGCCGTACGCTTGGGTCTAGTTCTGGTCGGGCGGTGACTAGACGTAGTTTTGAGATATACCTGGGGCAATACAGTGTATGTAAACATTGAAAGAAATATTTAAAACGCGGAATATAATACATTAGAACACCTAGTGGTTTTATGTTATGTTAGCAATCGGTGTTATTACACGATCCATTTACTTTTAATTACAGTGTTCCTGAAGAAAGTAGTATCACTGTGCCAGTCACCTACCTCCCTGCCATTTAAATTTATTATGCATGCATGAATTTCTAACTTATAAATATACTTCGCGCTTTAAGTACGTCGTATACTTTGCTCGATTTATGGGTTTACTCCCGCGGCGTAGAAGATTCTCAGTTTTGTTCACAATATCAAAGAACCGCCTATTAGTTCAGATGCGAAATTGCAGCAGCATACGGTATACTATTTATATTTATCATTAGTATAATGTTTCCTACGATTAACATTCATATAAAGTTATTATATCTCTTAATTTAAGTGCTTCTTAATTATTAACATTCATCAAAATACTTAGGTAATTAGATTAGACGTACAGGCATTCAGGAGCGGTTGAATAGCGTACCAACCTTTAGTAAACTGTAAAGGTATGTACCTGCTTCAAACTTTTTACTTGGGTAAAACCTACCTATAGTTATAGGTAAGCACCTTATACAAAGTGAAACTATTTCCTGTCAATAAATCAAAAAACAGTACTGGTACTTAAAAAGTAACGATAAAAGTAATTTCCTCATTGTATCAATATTCGATGGTCATCAATGTGCGTGACAACAAATCGACATTAACTTTCGATTATTCGTTGTAATGTGAACGTTCTTAGGTTCAGTGCTCGCCCGTGCACATCGGCTCATTAACGTTGTATTCAGTCGATTATGATTTAGTGAATGTTGTGTCTATAATGACGATGAATGTCTTGTTCAGTTTGTTGTTGAACTAAACAATGATATTTGTTGTGGACGCTCTATTGTAGAGGTTGAATTAAAAGCTGACATTGTTGTTTGTTCAGAAAATAGTACAGTAACAGATGTTGAGATTTTTTAACTGAACTCTTAGCCTTCTCTACATAGACGGTGTCTAATCTCCACGTTTGGCTCTTGGCAGGCGGGCTAAGAATTGCGTTTAAAAGATTCAGGTTTATTAGAGAGCAGTACTGCCCAGCTACCTTATTTCTTGCAAAAATGCGCAATTCCTTAGTCAGGGGTTACGAGACCTGTGAGATGAACAGGGCTGGTGACAATTGTTTTCTACGCTGCGGTAACCACACGTCTAGTTGTTATAGATTATTCTTTAAAATCCAATTAGGCGTTTGAACTACAAAATATGTGCATTTATAAGAAAAACTAGAAAGAAAAGTATTCACGCAACGATATACTTAATGGTTTTAATGCCGTTAGCTTAGCACGCACGGTGTCAACAAAACATACATGAAGCAACACTGCTGTTGATTTCAATTGAAACAGAAGGATAGAAGCTTTCCAGCTTATATTTAATTACTTCACAGAAGAATGAGTGAAACTTATTATTGTAAACGTTTACTATATCTAAAGTTATATATGTATGATAGAAGGGCTTGTCTCAAGAGTTAACAGTCGAATTAAACTTATTTACTCAATTGAAAAAAAAAATATTTTTTATTGTACTTATCACAAGTAAATCCATTTAAATATACATCTAGCTACATCTGCTACATGCAAAAGCATCTGCTAAGCTGCAACAAACACAGCAAGCGTTTCCTGTGCAGAATTGAAACCACATTACGTCGCGTAGCACCCAGTCTCCTCTTCGCTGCGACAATCGTACATAGTGGGCATATATTTTTTGAATGCTCAGCCAAAGCAATGGTATCGGATGAGATGACGTGAGCCCACTCAGCATGACACAGTGAGAGTTAAATCTCGCACTTACAAAAACTAATGTGGAGAAATTACGTCGACCGCTGTCGCTATAGCTACAGTTAATGAAATTATGTTTAGGATTGTTTTTACTGGCGCGATATCTATTCAAGATTCAATTGTGTTTTTTAACGAGATACGTAATTTATAAATGGCTAAAGTTACGAGTTTATAAAGTGCCTAAGTTACTAAAGTTAATGTTAACTTCCAGTTTTAGACGCATCAGGGCGTTATGGGTCAGGCCTGTTCATGGGCAATCGATACTGGTTGGGATCCAAAGATCGATGCCTGGACTTGGTATGTTAAAACTTCATAGCGTCTCATTCTATACAGATCTTACAACCACATCTGTTAATTGTACCATTTCTTTAAACAGGATAAACAATCGTTTGTAACAAACAGAAGCTCACCATTAGTGGAAAATGGTGATGACGATGTTAGTTCTATATCGAGGACAAAGTACTTTGATGATGGTATGAACTACATTATATTTCATACATTAATTATTATATATATTCTCACAAAACAAACTATCTTGAATATTGTCCACATTTCCATTGTCAGAGAGACACGAGTGGAGATGGATGGTATACCACGACGACGTGGTCCACAATGCTGCGGACACCTGGCCGCCATTCCGGCTCGCTTACACCGCGCTAGGCCTCTCTCTCAATATTACCAAGACCAACATGATAAAGGTTTTGTATCAAGGGTAACTGAAACTTCTTATGCCGGAATACTGAAACGTTACTCAATTTTAAGTCGTGCTTAAATATCGTGCCATCTCTGTCTTTTCACAAAGAGTTAGTGGTGACAGAACTATACTTAAGCGTGACTTAAAATTGAGTAGCGTTTCAGTATTCCGACATTAGACTATTAGTACATATGAGGTTTAATTGTGTTGTCTCCTTTTTCAGTCCACCGATATAATCTTGGGTCTATGCATGCCCTACTCGTGTACCCCTCGCGACATCGCTTCAGTCATCAACTTTTCCATCATGGTCAACGACAACTTGAAAGCGAACAAGACATCTTCACGTGTTGCGAGGGTCACAACAGTGAGACGTGTTGTAGGACACTACGATATTACGTCGGAGAGCTACGGAGTCCTACTCCTCTGCATTACAGCAATTCTTGTGGCCTTGGCCATTACCGCTACAGTAGTAGACTTAGATTTGATGAAATGTCTACCGTACGGCTCGAAATCTATGACATTCGATCTAGAAAAATACAATACAGATCCTAGTAGGAAGCTAAAGCTAGGTAGAGATAATGCAAGTGCGAAACATGAACATGAACCAAAGACGGAGACGGAGATGTTAGGAGTGGAGAACACGAACACGCATTACATGGCGGTGGAGAGTCTCGTGAAGTGCAGCGCTCCCACGATTACGCTGGACGTGAATTGTGCGGAGAAGATAGTCGGCAGTTGCAAGAGATGTGGGAAGTATAGGAAACAGTGCAGCAACCCGCGCCAGCTCGACAACCTGCCTCCCTGCCCGCGGCTGCAGTACAACTCCTTCGCGAGTTTGAGCACGGAGAGCAAAAAGAAGAACATCTTCTGTAGGCTGCTCCTGTGTTTCTCTCTGGCGTATTGCTGGAAGAGGATATTCAACACGAACATGGCGAACAAGGACTTGTCGTTGATACACGTGATGAGAGTGTTGGCGACGTTTTGGATAATGTTTATACACGTTGCAGTTATTGTCGGGTATATTTCAGGTACGTGTCTACTGGTAATGAAGATTGCATTTTTAATTCTTAAAATGTTGATAACTCAATAAAACTTTTTGTAGATTCTGCTGCGGACATTAACGACCAAAGTGGAGTGTACCTTATAATCGCAACTGGAACAATAGCCTTTGACACGCTATTTTTCGTAAGGTATTTACAGATTAGTTCCGTTAAATTACATTTTATTTCAATCTTATATTTAAATTAAATTCTCGATTGGTTGTATTTGATTGGTGTTAGCACTAAATTCCAACGTCTGTCTATTATCTCGGCCGATTGTTTATAAACAAATCAACAGTCGACAATTAGTGAATGATTTTAATTGTTTAAAATTTTTGTAGCGGTCTCTTCAGCGCCCACCATTTCTTTTTCTTGAAGAGTCAGTACAGCGTCAAGGAGTTGGTTGGGTTCCAGGGTGTCTGCGGGGAGGTGCTACAGTTCATTTGCTTTGTCACAAACAGAGTTATCAGGTTCGTGATGCATGCACATCCGAAATATCATAGAAATCATCCATAGTTACCTTTAGTTTATATCAATACGTTTGTCTGAATAGGTTACTACCACCATATGCATACGCAGTGTTGTTATCCGCGGTGATGGCGCAGTCAGTCCACCAGACAGCGACGCTGGCCCTGCCTGATGGGGACGAGGTCAACTGTCGTGACCATGGCTGGAGGAACCTCCTTTACGTTACTACTATTTACCCTAAAAACGAACAGGTAACGTAAATATTTCGCAATGTATTGATTTATGGATATTACCTATATTAGACTGGGTAGGTTTTAGTACCTACAACTAAGTCTAATACGGTTGATTTTACTATGTAGCCTGACGTTCTACCTAGATAGTGTTTTCAATTCTTCTAATGGCCTTACAAAGTTCCTTTTATAAGATTAAAAGATGAAAGCAAGTGTAAAAACTTTTGTTGGGTACTTTCTTATGTGTTTTTCGTACCAGTGCATGCAAATCTCATGGTACCTATCAACGGAGACACAGCTTCATATGATGGGTGCTCTACTGTGTGCGATGAGTGCGACATCTACCCTGCGCGGGCGTTTCGCCGCTTTCCTCGCTTTAGTTGCCATGGTGTCCGCCACTGTCGCCGATGCCAGTTCTGCATACTTTGACTTCCAACAGTTGTAAGTAATACTTAATTAAGTACTAATTTAAAGTAAGTATTGTTGTTGTATGTGTTTAAATTAAATTGTGGTTCTTGTTCTTCAGTTTTGCGAATTCGTTTAGCGCATACTCCGTTATTATTGAACGACCGTGGGCCCGTATAGCTCCTTACTTCATGGGCGTATTTACTGGATGGTTGATTCACGTCGTGCAAGGAAAACTAAAAGTTTCTAAGGTGAGCAATTATATTTTATCGGAGAGGTCCTAATATAACAACCTGTGATATTCCCTCGCAGTTATTAAATTCGCCTTAACAAAGAAAAAATGAGGTAGTTGTTTAGTTTCAAATATTTTCTTTAATACTAGGTGACGTCATCGCTCCTATGGATGGCATCAATATCATTCATGTTTACCTCGTCTGCTGTGCCGATGGTGGGGCTGCCCTGGTTAGCCTCCTGGCTGCATCTGACCTGGCCAATCTCACTGCTGTGGCCCGTATTGATGGGCGCTACTAATATGGCGGGTAAGAGTTCAAAGAAATAATTAATCTGTACAAATTTTTTAACTTATTTTGGAGATTAACTTGATATGTTCGCATTTAAATAGGGTAGACGACTAATTTTTATTTTAATGTCCTTTTGGTAGATTATATTAAAAAAATGAGGCACGTATTTTTCATTTTCTTACGGAAACGAATACCTACTTTCGACTAATTGATTTGAAATATCGCATGACGTCACTCTTGTGTACGATTTATACTCAAAAATGACGTAGCTACCTCCCACTCCTAAACTTAGATTCGTTTTATCTACGTATTATTTTCCTATACGACAAATTAAAAAAAAACGTGTCTAATATTTTTTAATTACCTAACTGACGGACTAATTAGATTTTCATACCCTATCATCATTCCTATTCAAGAAAAGGAAACACTATTTTGACTCATACTAACTTTTATTGTAATTTTTTCGTAACAATTGAATTGTTTTTAAAATAGGCATCTTCCGCAAAGTGACGTCCCACTCGTCAGTAGCCGCCTTGAGTCGTCTGAGCTACGGCATGTTGCTGCTGCACGCTGCCGTGGCGCGGACCATGTTGCTGACCGTGGACTCTGCGCTCTGTTCCACTACATTGTGTCTTGTAAGTCATTACTTATTTATTTTACACATCTTGGTACTTACTTTTCTTTATTTTCAGTTTGCAAATTGGCCCTTGATGTATGATGTATAACGTTTCTCAAAAATACCTAGATATTTCAGTCATTTCAAACTCTGTTCAGTCCATTTTCAGTTTTCCGCATACGGAACATATAGATGCGATTAGAAACATAGTGTCTGCTAAACTTACATTTGCAGACAATGTTGTAAGTTGAAGTCTCTCAACAGTTGCAACATATTCAACGCGTGAAAGTTTAATCCGAAGTATTCTCATGAATATTTAGCGACGTTTTTGAGTTAGTGATATTTCTAAAGCAGAATCAACTTACTTGGACGTTGTATGACGGACAGAATCATCTTATGTATCTACGATTTCTACTGTTTCTGATGACTCACAGTGTTCAGTGTGACTCACTCTTTTTTCACAGTGGCTGTATTTCGCGGGAACAACAATAGGCACAATACTAGCGGCCCTCCTACTCTCTCTACTCGTAGAGATGCCATGCTGCAGCCTTCTAAGACGACTCTCCGACTGCGCCTCATAACGCCAGTAAAACACTCGTTTTATAATAAAAAGTATATTTATTAATAATATTCGGTAAAAAACTTACTTCTATTTATATTTACAGCTTATTTACATTATTAGGTACACATCAAATAAATGTACATTTTAATTTTAATAGTATTTAACACTAGGTAGGTATGTTTGTTCAGATGTTATTTTAATGTAGATATTTTGGAGAGATAAAAGTTAGGCAGAATTTCTTTAGAGTAAATTCCAGGCATTATCATTTGCCTGTCTATTCAGAGATCAGTGATATGAGACAAGTGATATAAATAATAGTGTAATCGAGCAAAAACAAATGTCAATATATGAGGTTGACACAGACATTCGACAAATTTTGTCATGACGGTACAGTGGCCAGCAGATATTTATATTCATTCGATTTCATTATTATTTCTGTCATTTGTTTAGAAAGGTTTAAACTTCAAGTTAAGCACAATATTAGCAAAGTCCAATAAGTTTTCATTCCTCGGCCGCAAGCCTAGACTTATGTACATAAACTTATATACAAGTAAGTATAATGTAAGTATGGATCGAACATAACTTATTTTTTATTTATATTTATTGTTTATTTATTACCTGATGATTTCTAGTGGTAGGTACTGTAAATTTTGTAAGATATAATAAATTGAAATAGTCTATGGTTGTGTTTTATTTTAATGCGCATACGCATGGCTTCAAAATTATCATACTTTTTTTTTATCTAAAGCGTACTTTCACTGGTTATATTTTTTAATGAAAAATAATTCTTTATACTGGTTTTGTATATCTATTTTTAAAAACGTACAATGATTTGTCAATATTTTTTGAAACGCAACTCTCAGCTCAATTGTCATGATGATTAAACAGAAATACACAAAGCTATAATCGTTCATAACCAATTCAAAGTAAATACAATCAAAATCCACGCAACACGATACAGCGCTCACTGCTCAGTCACTGCTCAGTCAGCCAGCCTCCTCGAGGCGAAATATACAATAACTTTAATATTTATTAAACTATACATTAGATACAGTACAATATACATTGGAATGCTTAACCTTAAATAGACTAACGCCCGGTCCCTATTATTCGAGAATAATATAACTTTTGTCGAATAAAACTGAAATACTATTAGTTTACTTTTTTGAAAGTGACTCATCATAGGTGGCGTTACTAGAGAAAACAGGTAATTGCGTTTTTTCATAAAAATATTTTTTTATTGTTATCTAGAAAATAAGGACCGGGAATAAAATAACTAACATCACATTCGCCCTAACTATCAGGTAGCGAAGCGTGGTCAGCGCGGCCATTAGGTTGTACAAAAATTTTGTAACCACTCTTGCGCAGGTTCGGAATGCATTTAAACATTTTGGCCAATTAAACTCCTGCGCAATGTAATAGCTTATTTCCGCCTTGTAGCAGGTCAGTTGTAAAACTGGTGGAGTAATTAAAAGTCTTTGTAGGTAAAACTAAGGGTGGTGGGTTCATACTCTGTGCGGTTTCTTCTGCGGGGAGACTATCTTCAGCATGGTGACCATGGGCGCCTCGAAGGCTACTGATATCACGAACGCCAGAGCATACGATATCACTGTCAGACCCAGGAACAGGATGAACTGCGGACAAAGATATTGAGTTTTAAAATCGGATTTAAAAATGGTAAATATTCGGTAAGAACTCGAAGGAGATGACCAATTGATTTAAAATCGTGTATTATTTTAAAGTGTATTGTAGCAATAAAGAATTATTTTTAGGGTAGGTCTGACAATATGAAAAGTGATCTGCACCGTCCTTGCATCCTTGGACACCTGTAACACTAGAGGTGTCCCTTGAAAATATTTCAGAGTAAGGAGTTGAGGCTTCTATATAATCACAAGTACGCTTACCACGAAGAGTTCTCCCATATGTATAGGGTGCGTGAGATGCATGGCGACGTAGCGCAGCACTACAGGGTGTACCAAGTACGCGCAGTACGTCACGCGGGAGAACGGATACAACACCGGCGCAGACAGTAGTGGACGCACCCAACCTGTGACACGAAGGAATATGTTAATATATTTCTAGCTTTACTGATATCTTATTGACTATCTCAAAAGAAATATCTTGTTGTCATGTGGCTTACTTCTCGAAGGGGTTGACAGAGGTGAAGGGGTTGAAGGGGTTGCAGTATTAAGTTCGATGTAATAGAGGGCGAGCTTATAATACTATTTTTTTTTTTTTTATTTTAATGGGACAAGCCCGCCACAACCTCCCAAAACCGCTGCAACTCCTGTAAGCCAGGATCTACAGTAGATACAACCATGAAAACACCGGAACATTGAAGTCCGGCGCGTCCCAGGGACATGAGTAACTGTCTTGGTTCCCGCAACGAAATGAATCAGAAGATATTATAAGAGGAGAAGAAGAAAAGACTATAATTTCCACTTCCCTCGGTGAATTACTGCAGGAGACAGAATGAATTAAGCCTAAAGGCACAAAGAAGAGACTGTACAACTGGGTGAAGCCCAGTCGCCAAGCACCACGGAAATTTGACTAAAAAACTAAGTAACTAAGTGGGTCCTATGTGTGAGCTGTTATAAATTATAATACTATTCCCGACTTCATGATTTTACTGATAATTTTCCGAAACCGAAAACCAATTAAGAAAAACAAAAGAATAAATATGAATAGTCTGTCTCTCCTCTCTCTACTCCGATAAATAAATGAGAGAGAAATGGTCCTTTTAAAGATACATTGCCATAGAACGAACAGTATGTTTGTCATAATTAGCCATTGTGCCCAGTCTCACCTCCATGTCCAGTAGAACAAGCAATGATGATCCACCCGATGCAGGCAGCCCACAGAGAGTGAGAGAGTGCACTGTACACTGCTGCAGACAACACGCCCAGCTCCGTCTTGTACAGACCGAATATCAGGAATAGTAGTGTACCAGCACATACTGACCAGCCTACTGATGCCCATACCTGGAACAATAAAAAATGGTAAGTAAGTTGTGCTAAGTTAAATAGTTCCAAATAGACGAAAAAGGCACTTTTGAAAGTCTGTTGATCAGTCTACAAAAGGTGTTGGATATAATGAAATGGGAAGAAAATTCTTGGACTTGACTAGGGACAGTTTGATAACCAACAAACTACTTAATACACCTAAAATTGACGGCTTAAAAATGTGATCTGACAATGAAACCATTCTACTTTATTGAAAAATTTGTCAAGTTATCATAATCTGAGAATACTTACCCTGGTCATCTTAATAGTCAAGTTAGTCTTGAACAGTATCCACCCAGTGAACATGCCCACGAGGTAGGGTCCGAGCCTGGTCCATGGCTTCTCATACACTTTGTCGAACTGAGTGAAGGGATCCTCGCTGTTGGGGATGTGGTCGTTGCTCCAGGAGACGTAACCAGTCGTGAAGAGAGAAGAGATGAACAGGACACCGGTTAAAGAGGCTGAGAGCTTGAAGTGGCTAGAAGGGAAACAGGTTAAGAGTCAGTACAAAGTTTTCATTAATATGGGTGATTCAAATCTTTGAAAGAAACTGGCAGTCTTCTAAACGGACCAGGGCATTTGCAGAAGACTAGGTTTTTCTAAATAATTGGTTGGATTAATGATAAACTAGTTAAGTAGCTTACCTGGTGGCCAAGATCAGTAGGATGGCGCTGACTGCGTAGAACTGAGTGTCGTCTGAGAGGTACCAACTCCACAACATGCACTGGAATGAAAGATTTTTTGGTAAGAAAGAACAACAATCTTTAGCACAAGTCTCAAAGAAGCTTTCGAACATTATCTTATTCTTTCACAATGTTTATGAAAAACGTAGGATGTTCACTTGGGAGCATAAGTCCAGAAATAATTTTGGAACTGAAGGAAAAGTAAAGATTTAAGATTGTTTTTCTACTGCTTGTCTACGTTCAACTCACCATCTGCTCAACAGGGAAGAGAGTATTGATATAGAGCAGGTTCCTCCACCAGTACTTGGGGCAGGTGTCGTAGTCATTCGCCGGGGGCTCGAACACTGCGTTGTGCGCGAACCACTTCATCGTCACCTCCACCACACCCAGGATGAACAGGTATGGAGCAGTCAGTCTGGAGACATATTGGCAAGTTTATCGAATGTTTTTAACGTAAACCATCAAAAATCGATTGGAGAGTGTAAGGTTTCACTGACCTTGCAAATCTGTATCCAATAAGTCCCAAGAACTGCAGTGCTCCGGAGGTGATCTTCCTGTGACCCTTCACTAACAGGTCCAGCTTGCCCTTCGTCTTCGTACGAAAGTACAAGAACGTTACCAACATACCTCTGGAGAATTACATAGGAAAATTAATAAACACATAGGAAGATTTTAAAACAATTCTATGAAGATACTGGGCAATATTTTGATGTTTAAGAGGGTAGCACACATGATTTTTCTTAGTGTATTAGTCCCTATATTGAGACTAAAAACGTATTATATGATAATTAATGTTCAAGATGAGAATGATAACATACCCCAGGCAGAAGAAAGTGTCGACGCTGTAGACGGCGCTGATGATAAGTTGGAACCAGAAGCTCTTCTCCAAGATGGCTCGCAGGGCAGTGTTGTCGGCGTACTAGAAACCAAGTAAAATCAATATTATTAAACGTAAATTTTAACTAAGAAAAAATTTAATGTCATTCTTATCAATTGACATTATGTCAATTTTATGAATAAAAAACTTAAATAACAACTATTACATAAATAAAATTAAAACTAAATATTACTAAATTAAATATATACAACTTATGATTAAAATTAATTATAGGAAAAATAAACTATTTATAAGGCATCGAAAAACTCGTCCGCATCAATTGATATGATTATTGTGAATCTAATAATTAATAAAGATAATAATAATACCTTTTGGAATCAGCCGTTGGCTGTCAACAAGGCGATCCCCTTGGGCCAGTGATTTTTAGCCTGGCCATTAATCCTATTATACGACAGCTAAATTCTAAATTTAATGTGTGGTACCTCTATGACGGTACCCTGGGAGGCGATGCAGATACAGTTTTAAATGATTTCCAATTTTTAAAAAACGAACTTCATGCTATTGGCCTTGACCTAAATTATTCCAAGTGTGAGATATTTTTACATGACTCTACCGACAGACAGATCATATCAAAATTTACGACTTTTGCGCCTAATATCTCGGTTGTCGATAAATGTTCGCTTCGCCTCCTAGGTGCGCCCGTCTTCGAGGACTCTTTTCAAAGTTTTATTGACGAAAAAATTCAAAATTTTTCTGTCGTTTCAGAAAGACTGTATCACATTAGAATGCATTCGGCCTATACTATTATTCGTTTTTGTTGTTTTGGTCCCAAATTTATGTATTTTTTGCGCCCGACCTCTGGTCTGCACCCCTTCTTTTAGAAAAAATTGACCGAAGCATTAGACAAACTTTATCCTTAATTTTGAATGTGGCTCTCGACGACCGAGCCTGGACACAAGCTACTCTGCCTGTCCGCATGGGTGGGCTTGGCGTCCGTAAAATTTCCAGTGTAAGCCTACCAGCTTTCATATCTTCCGCCCATGGTACTGAAGAATTAACCAGGAAAATTCTTTCTCAATCACTGGTTAATTTTGATGTACCATTTTTAGTGGAAGCTGTGAAAGCTTGGAAAATCGCTTGCCCAAATATTGACCCCCCCGTCAAATCACTCTCCCAGAGACAATGGGACGAGCCGCTCTGCAGGAAAGTGAACGAAAATCTATTGAACTCCGCTTGTTCAACTGCAGAGCGAGCTCGCCTTTTGGCTGTGGGTGAGTGGGAGTCAGGGTTATGGCTTCTTGCTTTGCCTTCGTCCAACTTAGGTACTTTGTTGGACGACACCACATTCCGCGCTGCAATTTGTTTAAGGCTTGGGGCTTCATTTTGTTCACCTCATCGTTGTCGTTGTGGTGAAGATGTCAACAGCCTTGGACACCACGGCTTGTCGTGTAGCCGTAGTGCGGGTCGTTTTGCTCGACACGCGAGTATTAATGACATAATTCGTCGAGCTCTTGTCTCCGTTGGCGTGCCAGCTACTTTAGAACCTAATGGCTTGGTACGCAACGATGGCAAGAGACCCGACGGTATGTCATTATTCCCTTGGAAGATGGGTAGGCCTTTAGTATGGGACGCCACTTGCGTTGATACTCTGGCGCCATCCCATCTTCCAAACTCAGCGTGTCGAGCCGGTGCTGCCGCTGCTGCTGCCGAGAACCTCAAACGGCGAAAGTATGATAGCCTGATTGGCAATTATGCTTTCGAACCGTTTGGGGTTGAAACTTTAGGGCCGTGGGGCCCAAGTGCACATCTTCTTTACAAAGATATTGTAAAGAGGATGGTTGACACTTCAGGTGATCGAAGGGCTGGCTTCTACCTTGGACAAAGGTTAAGCATTGCCATTCAACGTGGTAATGCTGCCAGTCTTTTGGGCACCCTACCTCACGATAATGATGAGGAAAATTTTTTTTTTGATGCCTTATTATAGCTTATTTATTTATTATTACCTTTTTTTAATGTGTAAATATTTTAGTTCATAGTTATTTATATTTTAAGTTGTATATATTTTCATTTAGTTATAGTTAATATTAATTGTATATAATATAATAAGTATGTATATCAAATAAAGATAATAATTTATTAGTTACCTTGAAGACAACGATGCATGTGTGTCCGAATATAACCCAGACCATGGACAGAGACCTGAGTCCGTGCACGACAGGAACAGTGTCAGCTCCGACTGACTGGTCGAAGATCTGAAGTACGTTGGCCTTCATGGAGAACGAGAGAAGCAACTCCGACCAAATGCCTGGTGGTGATACAATGACAACTTAATATTGGGAGCTTTGCTGTTAGTTATGATGTAGGCGTTAATAGAGACTACAGAGACATTCATTAGTGTGATTTGGATAAATTACTTACCTTACCTCAATATTGAGGGTGTTAGAAAATAGATTTTAGGAAAATAGCTACAAAAGGTCACCGTTACCGACAAGGACAAGGAGGACTACGCATTAAAGTTCTGGTAAATATAGTTTTAAAATATATTAAATGAAAAGGTAGAGTTCACTTCTAAAACAAAAATACTACCTGCAAAAATGTAGTCACAGTTCCGGAAGGTCCCATATCACTAGACAAGTGTTATGTTATAACTTACTGAGTTTGAGTTCGTCAGTGGAGAGGGTCTCAGCGGTGAGACGCTCCTCCGAGGTGTTGCTGTTCATTTGCAGGTTGTTGTTCACATTGTACATCGACTTGCCTGCACATAAAGTTAATAAGAAATCAATCGTAGCTATATTAGGTAATACTTCATTAAGGGCTCTGGTCAAGCTCGAAACAAGGCGAGTATACCCGATAAAATTATATAGTAGATAAGTCACACGAACAATGTTTAATTTAGTGTCTCAAGAGTTTGGTTTAAGTCCGTAGATAGATTTTGATCCTTGTGTACTATTTACTGTGACTTGTGACTTAGCAGTAAGAAGGAGGAGAAATAGAAGATTAGGTATTACTTAAGTTACCATTAGCAACAGTGATGTCATCAAGTCCGTTGAGGTCGAGTTTAAGGTCGCTGCGAGCACCACCATTGGCGATGTTGGCCGCCATATTGGCAGCGCGCTGTCTGCGCCTGCGCACGTCGCGGGCTATCTTCATGTCGTAAATTGTCGCTGTGATGAGCAGGATGGTGACCAGGCAGGATACGGCTCTGGAAAAGTACGAGTATAGAACTTTAAAATGGCAGTGAGTTAATCGATATCAGTTCGTTGTTTGTTGACAGGTCGAAATCTTATTATTATTTTAAACTAAATTTATTACAATCAGACTAAGGTCTCCTGTAGAAACTCGACTAACAATTTAGTTGTCGTTACACAAAGCATAAGTTTTGTAATGTTAAATAATAAATCATTTTACAGAAATTGTAGGTTTAATAATATATTATTTTACAATTGGACCCGTCGGGGGCAATCATAGCACTGTGGTTTAGAAGTAATATTAGTTGGAGTACCTATTTACTGAAATAATTTACAGTATAATTAGGAATAGTTACGATTGATTGTTGATATTTTGCACGTTGAAATTTATTTGGCCCCTTCATTTCTTTACTATGCAATAAGATTAGACTGAAAACACAGAATGACATAATTAAACTACAATCGATCAATTGATATATTTCTCAGAGAAAAACAAAACAACGATCAGTCACCAATGAACCATAGTGATCTTAACTTGTACTGTTACTAAAGAATTTGAAACAATGACCAATCAAGATTAGTCCCAAAAATTGCTCAAGTTATTATATAATTTAAAGGTCTAACTTGTCCGGCTGTTAGCCTAGTCTAGAAGTGTGACGTCATCGCGAATGCCTGACACACAAACACGGTTCTAGAAAGTGGTATAAACGGGTGTATCGCAAGCCTGAGGAAATATCTTTAATGTCAACAATTTCATAATTATGCTAAACGTGTTGTGTTTTATTGGAGTTTTTCCAGTAATTGGCGGTGAAGTGAATTCAGACTTCTGTTATGACTAGATGTAAATCTAAATTGAGTCGCTTTTACGAAACAGTTCCTAAAATATCTTGTTACGTTAAGTTTCTCAAAATACCAAATATAGATATTATGTTAAACAAAATAGAAACGTGTGATATAATTTGTATGTGATTTATAGATATTAGCATATCTATTTCAGCATAATGCAATAAAATTTCGTTCATTAACAAAAATACCTTTATTTATTTTAACTTATTAGATAAGATAGAGTTAATAAATAAAATCAGTTTTAAGAAATAACATGTAAGTATGAGTATTTGTATAGTAAGCATTGATATTTAAGTTATTACCAATAGAAACAAAATTGAAATATCGAGTGAATCCGAAGCAATAAATAAGTTTTGTAATGTGTTGCAGAACGCAATGAAAACTTATATTTACGTTGAATGCTCGACTTTCATATATTATTAACCTGATTACTTATATAACTGAGTTTGCAGCCTTATTTGAAATACATAACATTATTTAAGCAGTAGAAATACATAATGTATGTTTCACGACAGTTATTTCACAAACATATATATTTGTTTGGCTATTATAATTCTTGAGTATATCGTAATTAATCTTTTCAATTTCAAAATTAACAATAACTTAATGTTGCTAACGATTGTTCCATTTTGGAAATAGACACTATACACATATATTTTTATAAGCACAACCAAACGATAAGCAAATATGTGATTTTTTGTAAATAACTAAGTATACATATAAAATTATACACCGCTGCTTAGTCCTTTATTAAATAATAGGTGAGAAGTTATGACATAACATAGAATTAGCTAATAAACCAAATGATCAATGAATGTGTATGCAGAAGTCACTATTTCAAAGGTTGTACGTTCCTCTTGCGATTTCTTTGTTTGTATATGTGTAACCGCAAACAAGTTTATCGCAAGAAGTGATAACTTAAGTTGCTCAAGTTAGGATCGCTTCCTACTTAGTTTCTGTTGTAATTGTAGTTACTAAACTGGTTTTACATGTGTTCACTTATCCTTACTTCCACTTATCCAAAATAAATATTATTTATTCATCTTAGTTCAGTTTACTACTGTACTAACTAACCCGGCAAACTCTATATCGTCAAAAAATTTTTTTCTCCCCTTTTAAACCTTCCCTGGACTTCCCTCCCACAAACATTTCAAGACCAAAATCAGCCGAATTGGTTCAGTCGTGCTCAAGTTTTAGCGAGACGGAAATTTATTATTTATATAGAAGATAATGTGGAATTAGTTATAATAAAGAGAAGAGCTTAATCATATTAAGCTAGTTATGTCAGCGTAATTAGAAATTAGGTTTTAAGAATCAAATTTATGATTTATTAGACAAATTACACGATCTACACAGAGACTAGGTCATGGATGTAAATTGATGGTGTGAATTACGTACTGTACTGTAATGACACCAATTTTGTGAAAACTATACAAGTCACCATTATAATTTGATTGACTTTGATGATTGAATTTAATTAATTTGACCGATTGATTTATATATTATTATTGTCTATATTTTTTTCGATTATTTATGTATAATTTTTATGACTGACTTATTATTTGACGTATGAATGTGAAAATAATTAATTTTTGGCTCAGACTTATATAGATTGATTTTGAAATTAATTAATACATACAATTTGGCTGAGACATACCCAATATTTGCATGCCCAATGGGTAGAACAAAGAGATACGTAACTCAAATAAATAACACCTTAGTCACTACGTACTACGCCTTTGTTCAGCAAATAAAGCTATTTGATTTGATTTGTATGTGTTTGTCATTATTGTAACAATACTTAAATTACAGGACGAAATCTTAGCGTAGGTACGGTAATAATTGGCATCAAATTAATCAATAGAATGACTGACTGTCAATAGAAACTTGAAATTTGCATGGCATAACGACATGGCAGTGGCAAACATGTCTTAAGTGCAACCTTATCTTGTTCATCCTATATACGTCCTATATATTACCTGTGTGTGTATGTGTGTGTGTGTGTGTATACATATACACAAACACACACATGTATACACATATTTCTGTACATAAATGATTTGATTTGATTCAGAGTAAGTGCTAAACAATGAATACTTACAGCAACACTCTGAAGGTAGGGTCGCCGAGGTATGTGTATCCTCCATGCTGAGGCGATCTGACGGCTACAACATTATGACGTAGCAGGGGTGCGCGTGCGCCGGCCACCATCGCGGAGACAGCGTCGCGGGAGCATGAGCGGGGGAGGCACATACCCAGGTGAAGAGTACGGCGCTGAAGAGGTAAGAACATTGTTAGTTAACATATTTCCATTTTTAAATTTCGCCTTTCATAGCGACCTTTATTACATGAGATTTATAACATTACTGATGAGAAGTATTATTGGATGTGGATATTTAATGTTTGTATTGCCTATAAATTGTAGGATTACGGTCTAGATGAATTTCAATGAGTTGGATAAAATCATTAGTTATAGAAAAACTTCTATGTTTTAATGTTCATTAAACCGTTTTAAATATAGAGGTAATTGACACTTAATCAAAAACTTACAGTCTTGACGACCTCAGTGTAGTTGGTGGTGACGCTGACTTTAGCGATGTAGAAGGCTGTCTCGAAGGGAGGCCCGAAGCCTACCATCGACAGGTCTTGGCGCCAGTCGTTGAAGATCTGGGAGCGAATTGTTTCTGGAAACACAAGAACAAAACTATTAATACTTGATAAACGTATACTATAACATTTAATTGCAGAAATAAAAATATCGCAAGAATTAATGTTTTACGTAAATCTGTTTCGAAAATAAGAGGTAAAGTTAGTATTCATAAAATATCTAGACTGTACAAATAGCCTTAAAAGTTAATTCGAAATATATTTTTCGTAACCCTCGCTACGCATACGCATCGCGATACAAAAGACATCAACGCGCGGTATTTGCATCACACTACAATAAAATCAGCTGTTTTATTTGAGCGACCGTTGAATGCCTGAAGTATTGCAATAGTTTCGGAACAGTCACTAGTATTGCATAATTAACTGTTTTAAAGTGTTATTTTAGCAGGAAATAGAATTGTAAAAGTTAATATTGTGCAACACGTACTTAAGCAGTCAACGCTTAACTTTCAGATTTTTATATTTTTGTCATCGTGGTTACCTGAACAGATTATGACCTAATATCATAATAGCGACTGCCAATAATCGTTGGTTTTTAATTATGTTTAGCCCGTCGTGTGTCTAAACGTGGATTCAAGCGGTTAATGCACATAGATTTTTTTTATACCATAGGAGTTGACGACAACTGTAGTAATTTTCCAAAATTGCATTGCAAAAGTAAAATAAGCGCCAAGGTAAGAAACACAAAAATTAAAGATAAAAGACTTGATACATCGTATTTTTGGAAGTATTACGAGTAGTGCACCGGCGCAAGGCCGCGGGTGTTTGTAGAAAGTGACGTAAGTCAACACCCCTTGACCCAGTGCAATGCGCCTGCGCTGGTTACCGCGCAAACATTGTTGACGCTCCAAAAGAGCCTTCAGTTTCATAATTGTTTTACTCATGTAACTATTAAGAGGAGACAGGTAATAATATTATGCTCACTAATCACTTCTTTGTTATTTTTATCTAAAGGAAATGGTGACTGACTGACACCTGAATTTAATGATCTGATAAATCGGCTCCTAAATTCTCTTTTCAAATTTATTTTTCTTCTTCTCTATTAATATCTTCTGATTTATTTTGGTGCGGGATCCAAGACAATTATTCATGTCCCTGGGACACGCCGGACTTCAGTGTTTTCAAGGTTGTATCCACTGTAGATTCTGGCTTACAGGAGTTGCAGCGGTTTTGGGAGGTTGTGGCGGGGTCGTCCAAAAAAGAAAGTGGTTTCAGATCAACATCTTTATATAGAGAAGATTTTTTAAATTAGTTGTATTGAATTTCTGTCAAAAACTTATTGATCCAGTTACTTTTGAGATCGGTTATTAATGTCTAGGTTTATTGTGGAGATATGAAGGTTCTATACTATTATTTTAATATTCGATTTTTTTTAATCTCTCTCCATTGACGACCTTTTTTTTGAAATTGGGAATTTGAGGATTGTGGAGGATTCGGGGATTCGGGAGACGGGGAGTCGGGTAATTGGGCCTCCGGTAAGCTCACTCACACGACGAAACACAACGCAAGCGTTGTTTCACGTCGATTTTCTGTGAGGCCGTGGTGTCACTCCGATCGAGCCGGCCCATTCGTGCCGAAGCATGGCTCTCCCATACTTTGACTATGAAATATTGTGCTATGTAACTTAAACTAAAACTAATGCTACCCTTTTTCCATCAGCAAAATTACACCATAGTTACTAGTAATTTCAAAGAAAATTGTACCGTTGCAATTTCTACCATTAATCGATTGTGTAAGGTAGTCTATTATCGATAGTATTCGATACCAGCATATCGATTAGTGTACATTGGAGCGAGTGTCGCCATATTGCGTGGAACCACTCCGATACTTGTATATTGCAATCTGCATAGGTTCACGTTGATGAAATTAATTGCTATTCGTTTACTGTCGTGTTCTCCTGTTTGTTGCTAAATTGTACTGTTTTAGTATTTGTAATTAATCGTACTTTGTTGCTTTTGTTAATGATCTTTTGATTTATGATGTATATTTTTTTAATTATTATCATTTTCTTCTAGTTAAGAAATTATAATTTTTTTGATAGCATAAGCCGGTAAACGAGCAGACGGTTCACCTGATGGTAAGCAATCGTCGCCGCCCATGGACACTCGAAACACCAAGGCGTTACAAGTGCTTTACCGGCCTTTTGGGAATTGGCAATTTGAGGATTGTGGAGGATTCGGGGATTCGGGAGACGGGGACTAGGGAGGGGGGTAATTGGGCCTCCAGTAACCTTTTTGTATTGTATCACGTATTACACTAAAACAGTTTACAGTTCTATTTCTGAACATAATATACATATTAGTTAATTAAGGTTTTGTAGAGGATTGAGCAATCTACGAGGTTTTCAAATAGCATAAGACAAAATATTTGTAATTTCTTTTGGCACACATTTAGTTATTTTTCAGTTCGCTTAGCAGCTTTTACTTAAGCTCGCAATCAATTCCGCAACAATAAAGATATTAGACTTTACAGTCTCTAATTTTATCTTGTTTTATCGCTTTGCGTGTTAATCTCATGCGCCTACGCAGTTCCGTGCAGATTGACACGCACGTTACACACAATAACTTGCAAGATTGTGGCGAATTGAAATTTTTGAGTAGCCAGCTAAATTGCTCGAAAACTATTGAAAAAGGATATAATTCAAGATAATATAAACATAATGATTGCACATAGCAAAGTTGGTATTTTTTAAGGGGGAAATCATCGAATGACTGCTCCCGCCTGGGTGAGGCGGGAGGGAGTGTCAGACTCTTACTGACTAAAAACCACCCCGTTCCTTCACCTGCACGTCGAGCCGGAGCCCCGGTTACCCGTTAGGTTCTCTGCGACAGCAAGTTTGGTTACAGTACTAAATTGATAGCTATGTTAAACAACCTTTAGTTGTTGCCTGTCAATATTCAATTCGTCCTCAACCTTTATACACAACTTCTTTACAGCTTTAAAGCTTACGGTCCATCAAATGACCACGTGATAAGTGCACTTGCAACTTGCACTTGCAGATCTTGCACTTGAAATATCAGAGGCACCACAAGATCATTGCCAACCAAACCAGGCATTCATTTTAATTAAATCATGGTTTGGTACTTTTGAAACCTCAACAAAACAAAATAAATTACAGTCTGTCATTCTGTCAGTAAAGCTCAAGCTACGAGCTCCTAGCTCGTTCCAAAATCAAGATTCGAATAGAGAAGAACGAGCAAGAAACTCCATCTGTTACGCTTTTGTTTCTATTCTCTTAAAAAAAATAACTATGTTTTAACCACGTGGAAAACTCTTTAGTTGACTTATCACTTTCAGTGTACCTACCGGATCTACATTAAAGAAAGTAGAAGTAAATTAATGTTGACTTACTGTTGCGTTGTCTGATGGGTGTATGTTGGTCGTTAAGGATGTCACACAGCTCTGCTGACCCCGTCCAGTAGTTGTTGCCCCAGTAGAACATCGATGTGTAGCGACCACTCGCGTCTTCCACTGCAATGCAAAGAAAATATATGTTTTAGTTAATTTAATAAAAAAACTAAATAATACATTACGAAAAAATAAATCAATTAAATAATATTTTACTTTATTTTAATAAAATAAGTAACAATTAATTCCCGCTAAAATAAAAGAAAAGCCTTTTTGTTTTCATTAAAACGCAACTGTCACTCCAATCTTAGTGGCCAGTGTCATCACTGCTTCACCATGAAGGTTTTACTTAAAACATTAATTATTTTGTTTGCATCTGTCCTCGTATAAACTACGTCCTTTATTAAAATTATAACTTATCTTAGCTGGTAATTTGTCATATCAACGAAAATGCGGAAAAAAATCAATCAGATATTTTTAATGTAAAATATTGCAGAGTGTTGTAAAAGATGAATGTATTGTTCCGACATTTAAGGAAGGTTTGCCTTGGTCTTGGGTGTAAGACCTTTGAGTTAATGCAACCCGCAACATTGGCAACACTTTCCAAAAACATCACTTCCTACTTGTAGTGTGCGATAAGATATCAAATTACGTGTAGGAAATATTTTATATACAGATTAACGAGCGTGTTTACACTTTAATACGAAACTTTTTCACATAACATAATATCACACCTTTTATTCCCGTAGGGGTCGGCAGAGGTGTACATTACGGCACTTAATGCCACTGTACAATGTAACACCCACATTTCCCTATTTATGTAGTCAGTCTCATGTAATATTTGGTGAACCTATTGAAAAAATGTTCAGTGATCTCATTTTTGTTCAAAACTTAGAGGTATATTCCAGATAGATACTAAAATAACTTGTCTTATTACATTACGCAAGCGTCGAAGGGCTATAAGATATAAAGATATATATAATATTACGTTTGTAATTGGTTCAGTCAACTTGCAACTCAGTTGACCTCAACTTTGCAGCTGTGAGCTTTCGATATTGTGCAGAAGGTAAGCGGAGACCTTAGACTCCTTAGACCTTGGGAGTCAGGTGGAAAAGGACAGGTGATCTAGCCTTTAGGATTTACATAATGCACTAAGCGTGTATTTGATTTTGAAGTACGTATGTTTTGTAATCATATCAGTAACAATATTGACTATTTTGTGAGTTTGGTAAATATGTTCCAGACCTTAGTCCTTAGTATTTGAATTATGTAGTACTTCTGTAAAGACGACGTGTGTTTTCATAAGTAATAATTAAAGCCTAAGTATTATAAATAAGACTGCCTCGTTGGTCAAGTGGTTGCTAGTGCGACTGCCGGGCAAAGGTTCTCGGGTTCGATTCCTGTATCGGGCAAAGTATAGTAGGGTTTCTAAAAAAAATATTCTTAGTAGTAGCAAGGAGCGTGGAGTTGTGCCCAGTATATGACAATAGGCTCACCATATTACATGGGACTCATAACATAAAAAGTGGGTGTTACGTTGTACAGGGCATTAAGTGCCGTAATGTGCCCCTCTGCCTACCCCTTCAGGGATAAAGGCAAAATAAAGTTATGTTATATTATAATGAATTAAAGTGTTAATTTTACGGAATTTTTAGGTCAATCCTACGTATCTAATTTAACTAGAGGTATATTTATTAACTCGTAAGTTATCGTTGGTCTCCTAAATAAAGAAAAGCAGTCACAGTAAACAACATGTGTTAATCGAATAGTAATCGAGATCGATGTCAAGGTGACTCGATAGTGTCGTGTCAGCGACCCCACGCGTTCAATCTGATTGCACTGCGCGCGCTTGTAAATGTACAGCCTATAATCTAAACTATGTGAGGTTTTATTAAAATGTTAGTCGGTTGTCATTAACAAATGTCTTGTTTATTGTTGTCTTAAGCGGTGGAGATGAATATAAGAATCAGTTAGATTTCGTAATTCGTCTATGGTTAAACAAAGGGTTTTCCCTTGTGGAGGAATTGATGAAATTGAATTCAATTTTTCGTTTTTGGAAATAGACGCTGATTTATTGACAATGGCAATAACTTTTTTCAAATAAACTCAAGTAATTGACTGCGCGGTTGGGGGTTCGATTCCCGCACGAAACAACTCTTTGTGTGATCCACAGATTGTTGTTCCGGGTCTGTGTGTCATGTGAATTGTGTATGTGAACTTGTATTTTTGTAAACGCAACCACGATCAACGAGAAAATCAAATCAACGTTATAAAAAATATCAAGGCGTGACAGATGTCGGTCATTGTTCATTTCATTTAGCGATGAATGTCTTAAATTAATTATTTCTCAAATTATGATAATTACGCGGTGACTATAACAAGGTAAACAGTTCTGTATTAAACTGCTTATAATTTATTTTATGTCCAACTTGTTTCAATGGCAACATTGTACTGAAATAACTCTAATTAAATCTTAAGAACAATTTTATTTTAAGTTATCGAAATATATTATAACTATAAAAATATTAACATGTTGTTTGGTCTTTTTTTTAAGGGGGAAAATCATTCTATGGGCGCCTGGCTGAGGCGTGAGGGAGTGTCAGACTGACTAAAAATTACCCTGTTTCTACTCCTGCACGTCGAGCTGGAGCCCCGGTAACCCGTTAGGTTCTCCGCGGCATGTTGTTTGGTCTAGGAGACTTTATGCTGAATAGAGGTGGTTTTGAACCAAGTATGAATTACAATAATTACAATATCATCCAGGTCATCACAAAAGGTACAAGATAGACAGGTAGCTGTCGAGTAATTTGTATGAGTACCAATTATTATGTGACACCAATCTACTGGCAACCTTGTATTATGTGATCATGCGTAATGTAATGTACATACTGGTAACAAATGTCAAGGAATGTAATTAAGTCATATCATATATCCTTTCCATAAATATGTAAATTTTATAATCTAAGGGCCGATTTTTCAATGTTCAGTTAAATTTTATTAGAGGAATAATTTTGAATATTTGACAATTCTTCAATACTCTAAAATGACAATTTTATTCTACAGCTAAGAATTAACTGATGATTGTTAAATTGGCCATATGTCTCGTGCAGCATCTGTCTGATTTTAATGTTGTTAAAACTGATCTCTCCGAAGGGATTTTTCTACGATTTCTAACAACGACTAGTTTAGAGGATACCTCCGTCCTCCTCCTGGTTTTGTTAAGATTTGACAGCCGTGGGTGAAGCCACAGTTTGGGTGATGAAGTTTGAGTTGTTTCTGTGAAATTATATATCATACCCGTAATAATTAATTGACTCTTTACTAAGTACGTTGTACTCTCCGTACATGTCTAGTACAAGTACTGATGTTCTCAGTAGCTTCAATAAAATCCATCGTCTAAATAACACATGAACCTTGTATAACATCGCATAGACTACTCAGAACTCAACTTACCCAACAAATAAAACGCCCCAGATACTTAAGTTACCTAGAAGTGCCATCAGCGCGAACATTTCCCCATTTCCTTTTTCCCGTTCGGCCGCATACCTTCTAACCACATCTTGCATCTCACGCACTTAGCAATTTGCGTGAGCGCACCATTTCCCAACATGTCGGCAATTTGTTAGTGATTGCTGCTTGCTATGCCGGCCGCGATGGGTCGACAGTGCTGACCTCTGCTCTGTTGTAACTGACAGCTGCATTGCGTTTCCCCACAGTTCGCTGCAGTTGACACTTTGAATATGTCGTTGTGACATGCTACATCTAAATGTTTTATGCCGTTGTGCATCGTTATTTTGATTTGAAATATTTCAGTAATAGCTTGCATTGGAATTGAGTTTGTAGTTTGGCTAAAGTCTTCGGTACCGTTCTTAAGTTGTCTGGTACTTAAGAAACTGGTGTTCAGAATTTACCACTGAACTCTTTGCGGAAGGATTGTATCATTGTGTAAAGTTTTCATGAGCTATATTCTATTGAAAAAGTAACTATACTATGCAATTTACCATCATGTGGGAGATGAGATACTTAGGATTATATTTTCCCTTTCTTTTTTAAAGCCTTTAATAACTTTCTACCGTTCAGCATAAAACCGCAAATTTGTGCCAAATTATCATCTACCAGTAATTAAGAGGTTTCTAATCAGAACGAGTGGAGGTGTGGCAACACTGTCGTACGGTCAAGTTGCGCGCGCGCCGATTAGCTGATGCGCTGACGCAACGTGACGTGACCGTGTGATACGTCATCGAAAACTATTTAAATTTCGAACACTGTTGTTTTGGTTTGACTCGTACTACCTGTCGTTGGTCATGTAGTTGTAGTTTCTGTATGGTACGGTTATGATTGTTGTTGCTAATTGTACGTCCGCCTTGTAAGGTGTGACATTCTTTTGTGTACAACTGTACATCTATTTTATGGTATGCCTATTAGATGGTTTGTAATTTGAATAGGTTAAATAATACTGCAATTGTTTCGGGATAAACAAATAAATTTCTTTCTACCTGAAAGTCATTGGGATTTGCCTATGTCCAGCAGTTTTGTAGCGGGTCTGATGATGGTGTAGAAATGAATTAACGAGATAGTTTACATACATGGTTTCAATGTAAATATTCATGCCGAGCTTCCATACATATATGTATAAATATGTAAGTACTTTATTTACCTTAAAATCCATTCGACTTCTCTCTTCTGAGTGATAAAAGAGAAACGTCATGAAATATTTTTGTGAGAAACTCAAATGTGAAAGCTTTTGTTTTGTTTGATTTTCTTTTATAAACAAAACGGGTTTCTTTTGCGATTTAAAATGACAAACATAATATTATGTGTAATGCAAGTTTGATACATAATTTTAATATAAAAAATAGCTACCTAACCAATTCAAATGATAGGAATTTGATGTAATAGCTGTTTAACTTACCATAAAAAGCAAAAATGGTAAATGAAAATCTCTCTAAAACACTGCACGATATGGTAATCAAACCAGAGACACCTTGCTGGGCAACTGCGGCCGACATAGCAGTCAAGTCATAACATGCTCATTTCACTACTTAATTTTTTTTATTAATTTTACCTAAACAATTGATTTATGTTATGGGACATGCCCGCCACAACCTCCCAAAACCGCTGCA